ATCAAAAAAGATCAACGGCTCTGATTTGTAAGCATGTGACAACATTGATCTTTTTTTATCTAACGACTATTAGAAGAGTTGTCAAATTTCAAATTTGACACTGGTGTCAAAAGATCCTACCTCTATATATATATATATATATATATATAGAGAGAGAGAGAGAGCTGGTTAATTTTATATTAATATAATAATAAGAAATTTGACACTCATTTTTGTCATTGATCGATTTACATCCAATAATACACCTAATTTAGATATAAATAAAATTAATGACAAAAATAAAAAATATATCTTATATTATTGGTATACAATAATCCTAACTTTATATATATATATATGGGATAGGATCAACTTACACCGGTGTAAGAATAATAAATCTTACATCAAATCTTAACCGTTGATTTCCGTGCATCCAATGGTTGAGATTTATTGGGAATTAAAAATTAATTAACGAGTGAGACCTAATAAATCTTAACCGTCAGAGGTAGAAAATCAATGATTAGGATTTGGTGTAAGATTTATTATTCTTACACCGGTGTAAGATGATCTTGCCCCTATATATATATATATATATATATATATATATATATATATAGAGAGAGAGAGAGAGAGAGAGAGAAGAGACCAGCCAAAGAGTGGAGTAGGGTGGTTTTGCCGCAACCAGAAGGACCCATGAGGGCCATGATCCTACCAGGTTCAGCAAAACCTGTGATCCCATGAAGCAACTTCTTCTTGTCTGCTCCAAAATTAGAATGCTCCACTGTTAGATCTTCCCATACCATCACCATAGCTAGCAAACAACTTACTATTACAAAAAGTGTGGAACTATATACATATATATATTTATTTATATTTATGTTTTCTTCTCTTCCTCGCGTTCTCACTTACAAGTCTGATACGATCGATATTTGATGGCTATATATGCATGCTGTCGCACTTTTTGTATATATATATATAATAAATTAGTACTGTTTGAATCAGGAAACCAACCCAATTAAAGCGTACAAGAACCTAACAATATATTTTTATTATTAAATAATTTAACTCTATTCTTTATTTAATTAAGGAGACATAAAAAAAAATTAGGTAAGCGAGAAGAAAAAACATATAAAGAAAAAGTCTAATAATATAATATATATTAAAGATGCAGTTTGAGGGTGGTATGGGATGACTATGAAGCCCGCATATATAGCTAACCTAATAATGACTCCACATGCGCGTACCTGTCCCAGTAAATTCAGATTACTCCACATGATATTTATGTACATATTTATCATGTTTAAACCTATACAATATTAGACTGATCCCTTGGCAAGGGTCTCTCTCTTTCATAAATATTATATATATGTATATAGGGGCAGGTTATATTTATAAACTTTTTTGTTTACAAACTCTTACAAACTACACTATGTAGGACCGGTCCTACATTAATCACACAGTGTACGACCGGTCCTACATTAGTGTAATTGCAAAAAAAAAATTGTAAACGGAACATGTCTCATGTACATATTATACATTGCAATGGCAAGGGAATAAGAGAAGTAAGTCAAATAATTTTTATATCTCACTCCATACGACTAGTGACAAGTAAGCCCTAACACAAGTTGCCTGGGATGGTGATGGAGTCAGACGAAGATCTAAATAGTCTCTAGTACTCTGGTTTTGGAGTTGATAAGAAAACATTATTTGCTTCATTGAATCACATGTTTTGCTGAATTTGATACCATGCATCATGGTCATCATGGATAGCAAAACCACCTTACTCCACTTTGGCTGGTCTCTCTTTTTTCTCTGTCTCCTTATATAAGTTATTAATAATTTTATATTATATTTCTCTAACACAATCATTCATATGAGTATTTATTGAACTTGAAAATTGGACAACACACAAATTTAACTATTATAATAAACTTCATAATAATTTTCTAACGCATCACATTAGACAAGTGTCCATTAGATTTGAGGGGTGAATAAAGCACACAAGTTCATCTATATTAAATAACTTCACAATATTTAATTATTTATTAATAAAATTAAAACGGTGAAAATCAAAGTCATAGCCTTGTTCAGAGAGACTAACGTATGAAATTGTTGTATAATAAGATTTTCGATTGTGCACTATATACTTGTTTCGTTATGGGGAAGGAGGAGAGACCCATAACAAATAAGAATGGGCTTGCATGTGAAATTGAAAGCTGTTTTATTTGAATGGGACATAGCGAATCTCCCAACCGTCACCCGCTTCTGCCATAAAGCTTGAGTTTGACAGCAACTGAATTCCTAAAACAAATATTACCCCTTTTGATATATGGACGCTATTTTAGTTCGGCTGCAAATGGAATTGGCCCCACCAAATACCCAACCCAACAACAATTCACATGACACCACTATTAATTTTTTTTATTTTTTATTTTTGAAATATTCAATCCGTTCATAGTTTCACGATTAATTCGATTCGGGACGAGTTCCGAAATTAAGGCTTTAAATTATTCTCAAAGGCAGTACAGGGAAGGATCGAGCACATGCTCTCATCCCACCTACTCAGTTCTGTGACGTCAACTGAGCTATCATCATTTGAATACATCACTATTAATAATATATCCAACGTTATTAATATATATATTTATTTTATTATTAAGTAATTTTCAATATTGACCTTATTAAATGACATGAAGTTACTTTTTATCAATTAAACCAGCATAGAATTTTATTCAATAGTAAAAAAAAAATACATTGTTAACAATCTTTTTCATATAATATTGGTAAATTTCAGCAATTTTGATTTAGCTTGTTTTACCCGTAGAGTTGGCCAATTGAAGTACTTAATAAAGTTGGCTCTTATAATTAGGAGGATTGAAGATCAGCTGCATTCAAAACCCGATAACCTTGAAGACAATTGAAAGCAACATGAAGGAGGTAAAGTTGATACCTTTGACCTTTGAAAACACATTGCGAGAACGTGGAAATTATTTTTTATTTTTTTTAAATTGCGTCTAAGACACTTAACGATCTGAATGTGATAGTTATATTAAAAAAATTGCTAACATGGATGATGTTATGGATCCGTATAATGAGCTCATTAAGTAGCAGGCCCAACAAGGAGCAATCCAAGATATGGATTGATGCTAATAAAGGATAGATATTCATTAAGGATACTAATCCTAATACGACAGCATAGTCAACAGGCCTAGATCCTCACCAAAGTAATCAAAGGCCCATCCACATTACCTACAGGTAACCTCTATAAATACAAAGGTAAACCCTAAAGGTACGTACGCTCTCTCTCTCTTACTGTTATGTTGTCACTGTGCGCACACACACACCCCATTGACTAACGCCGTTATAGTATTTTGTGCACAGTGATCTGCTTGAGGGTATCTCCTTCATAGATACCTTGGAGAGGGCACTAGATCCAATATCAACATATACTAGCCTATTGGGCTAGACATCTCTGTCTCGAGGACAGAACATTGGCGCCGTATGTGGGGAATTCATCTCTGAATTTGAAGTTCCCACCAATCTGATAAGGGATGGCAATCTAGACGAGGATCAGCAGTAGTCAGCAGCCACCACAAAACCAGAATCAACCGATGGATCCAGTCCTGGAGGAGGTAAACCAGCCTCAGAACCAGATCGGAGACAACGTGGATTACGATCACGTCCAGGTCGAGGACGACGTCTCAGACACCGCATCTACTCCAGCGCGTCGAGGTAGAGGGGTGGAGGCAAACGTGGCTCCAATCAGAAACAACCCTTTCCCAGCATCCAGGAGATCTTACTGCGCGTATTGCCCAACCGGCTGATCCGGATACTCGGTTGGCCAATAATGCATTCGCCGCAATCATGTAACAAATTGCAGAACTGGAGACCCACAATAACTTGCAACGGCAGCAGGATTTCAGGGTTATAAGGGAGAAGAATAACAGGGGGATGCAAGACCTGGAGCAGCGCTTAACGCGGCTGGCTGGACCAGGAACAGCCGATGTAGAAGGTCAACCTGCCAATGGCCGAGAAGGAGCTCGGAACGTAATTCAGCCAAACCGGGTTCCTCATGCAGAAAATCATGAAAAACCCAACCCCGTGAATGCTGTGAACCAGAACTAGGGAAACCAGGCTGCTAATGGCCAAAATGCTCAAAACCATCAGACGCAAGCTGACGGTCAGGAGGACCAAGTTAGAACTCATCCTGCGCAGAATACTCAAGATATCCGAGGTCGGGTAGAACCCGGCGGGTATAGGAGGAAGTACAGCAGGGGGCAGTACAACAATAGCCCTTTTACTGGTGAAATACTAAACGTTGTCTTCCCGGAGGATTTTGATTCGGCACGTCTGCCAAAGTATGACGGGAGCCAGGATCCACAGGTGCATATAGATGCTTTCGACACGGATACGTACATTCGAGGAATTGATGAACCTCTCATATCCCGAATATTTGCTATAACCCTAACTGGGGCAGCACAGGCATGGTTTTCAACCCTTCCTGCTAATTTCATCGGATCCTTCGAGTAATTCGGACAGAAGTTCCTCCAGAACTTTGCAACAAGTAAGAAGCATCCGAAGTCTGAGTTCGCTCTCGGAAAGATACGACAGCAGCCCGGAGAAACCCTGCAGAAATACCTTAACTGGTTCAAGGACGCTGCATTGCAGGTCCCAGGGTTGCAAGAGAATGTCCACGTACACCTCATTGTGGCGGGTCTGGATGGTGCATCCAGGCTTGCCAAGTCGGTCTATAAGGACCCAGTGAGGACGCTGGAGGAATTCAGAACTCGTTCAAAGAAATATCTCGAACTAGAGCAAATGGAGATTGCAAATGCGCAATCTGATGAGGGCAAAAGGATAAGCCCAAGAAGGAGGAGCCCAGCCCCAAAGGAAAAGAACGAATTGACAGTAAGAAGAAAGATCTTCGCCCAAGAATCCCAGACATGAGGGATCGGGTTGGGAGATATGATAAATACACACCTCTTAATGCTTCGTGTTCTCAAATCTGGAGAGAAGTAGCCATGACGGAGATGAAGAAGGTGGACAGACCCCGGCCCATATTTGACAGAGGAGGTTTGGATAAGTCCAAATATTGTGCTTTCCATGATGGACCGGGACATACAACTGACCAATGCTGGGATCTCCGAGATGCTGTGGAGAAATTTGTAAGAGATGGACGGTTGCGTCAATACGTGATCAAAACCCAAGGGTCCAAAATCAACAAAAGAAAGGCGGGAAATAGAAAGAGAAGTAGAAGCCCAGTTCCTGAAAAGAAGAACAAGGATGAACGAGATCGCAAAGGTGATCCCAACTTTGACGAGTTCCCAGAAGCGGAATTTGATTGCAATGTAATCAGTGGAGCCCTTAGAGGAGGTGGAGACACCATAAGTGCAAGACGAAAGTACTTGAAGGAGGTCCTTTCAATTCGGGACCGCCCTAGATTCAAGGAGGATTCAAGCAAGCCATATCCCCCTTTGCTTTATTTCACAAAGGAGGACATGCATGGCGTGTTACCCGGACATGTTGACGGACTTGTTATAGCTGGTACTCTGGTAAACTGTCAGGTTAAGAAAATTTTTGTTGATGCAGGGAGTAGTGCCGACATCATCCTATAGGACGCTTTCAAAAAGATGAACCTTGATGAGGAGGACCTTGAACCTTGCAAAACTACTTTGATAGCCTTTAATGGGGAACATATGCCCCCTAAAGGTTATGTAGATCTCAGGTTGACCTTGGGAACCAAAGAAGCGTTCAAATCAGAACGGGTAAGGTTCATAGTGGCCGATTTCCCATCAGAATATAATATAATTCTTGGCAGGCCAACTATACACCAGTGGGACATGCTGGTTTCCACGAAGCACCAAAAGATAAAGATGCTAAGCAGTAAAGGCGAAATAATTACTGTTTATGGAGATCAAAAAGAGTCCAGGGGATGCTACTTTGACACTATCAAGGAAAATGAGGATGGGTATACAGGTCCATCTCGAGTTCATGCAGGGGACAAGCAAGGAAAGAACATAATCCAGCACCATCCCAACAAGCCCGTCAATGTGGTGGAACTCGACATGAGAGAAGAAGTAGTATCGAGGCCAGAACCCGACGCGAGCTAGAAAACCTGGCACTCGGGCAAGACCCCAGCCGGTTTACCCGGATTGGAAAGGCCATAGACCCCCAAACTAAGCAAATATTGGTCGACTTTCTTCAAAGCAACACAGATGTATTTGCATGGAAGTCGTCAGAGATCCCTGGCATCGACCAGCCTTTTGCTGTCACAAATTGGCAGCTTATCCAGGATCCACGCCAGTTTCCCAGAAGAAAAGGAAAATGGGACCAGAAAGAAAGCAAGTTCTACAAGAGAACGTCAAAGAGCTCTTGGATGCCGGGTTTATTCGTGAGATACAGTATACAACGTGGCTTGCCAATGTGGTGATGGTGAAAAAACCAAATGGGAAATGGAGAATCTGTACTGATTACACAGACTTAAACAAGGCCTGCCCAAATGATGCTTATCATATGCCTAACATAGACCAGCTGGTAGATAACTCGGCTAGATTTCGTCTGTTGTCCTTTATGGATGCTTATTCGGGATACAACCAGATCCCAATGTACCCGGCGGATCAAGAAAAAACGGCCTTCATTGCTGAAAAGGCCAACTATTGCTACAATGTGATGTCATTTGGACTCAAAAATTCAGGGGCAACCTATCAACGGATGATGAATAAAGTCTTCGAAGATTAGCTGGGCAAAAACATAGAAGTATACATTGACGATATGATCATAAAATCATTTGATATGATGAATCATGTCCAGGATCTCGAACAAACATTTCAAAAGCTCAGGAAGTACCGCATACGCCTCAACCCGGTAAAGTGCGCGTTTGGGGTTGCAGCAGGGAAATTTTTGGGATTCATGCTAATCCATAGAAGAATAGAAGCGAACCCTGACAAATGCAAGGCATTACTTGATATGAAAGCACCCCAAAGCAAAAAGGGAGTCCAACAGCTAACTGGTCGATTAGCTGCGTTAACCCGGTTTCTTCCGAAGTCTGCTGAAAATGCCCTCCCGTTCTTTAAACTTTTAAAGAAGGAAGCAACTGACGGATGGAACCCTGCGTGTGAAGCCGCGTTTGAGAGAGTCAATAAATGTTTAGCAACTCCACCAATCCTCTCGAAGCCAAACCTAGGAGATATTCTGATCCTGTATATGGCAGTAGGGGAGGAAACGATAAGTGTTGTACTGATCAAGGAAACTAACGAGGGCCAAGAGCCGATTTACTTTGTCAGTAGAGCTTTACAAGGAGCAGAAGTCAGATATCAAAAGCTAGAGAAAGTGGCTTTTGCTTTGCTGGTCACGGCCAGAAGATTGCGCGGCCATACTTTCAGGGTCATCAAATAGTCGTCAGGACTAATCAGCCTATCCGGCAGGTGTTGCACAAGTCGGACCTGGCGGGAAGAATGACTAACTGGGCAATTGAGCTCAGCGAATACGAAATAGATTATGAAAGCCGGAAAGCAATCAAGTCACAAGCTTTGGCCGACTTCATAATGGAATTAACGCCGGTAAATTCGGAAAACGAGGAATCCGACAGTGCATGGAAGGTCTACGTAGATGGATTCTCCAATAATAAAGGAAGTGGGGTTGGGATCATATTAGAAACCCCAGAAGGAGTAACAATTGAACATTCTCTAAACTTGGGATTCCCAACCTCAAATAATCAAGCTGAATATGAAGCTCTGATAGCCGGATTGATGCATGCTAAAGAGCACGGAGCTAGGAAAGTGCAGGTCTTCAGTGACTCGCAGTTGGTAACTTCGCAGATAGAAGGAAAGTACCAAGTTAAAGGTCTTTTGCTAATGAAGTATCTAAGTCGGGTTCGAGAAATCATGGCCGACTTTGATGAGGTGCGGGTTACTCACATCCCACGAGGGGAGAATAGCCGAGCTGACATCTTGTCAAAGTTAGCTAGCACCAAGAATCCGGGTAACCACAGAACTGTGGTTCAGCAAAGCATAGCAAGCTCGAGTTGCATGATGGTGATAACCTTGGCAAATGACTGGAGGAAACCTCTAGCAGATTACCTGGAGAAAGGAATACTGCCAGAAGACCACCTGGAAGCCAGGAAGCTGGTCCGAGATGTGACACAATATGCAGTCGTGAATGACCAACTATATAGAAAAGGTTTGCACAACCCCATGCTGAAATGCTTGAACTCGGACGGAGCAGAATATGTGCTCGCCGAGATCCATGAAGGAATAAACGGCCATCACTTGGGAGGAAAAGCTTTGGCCAGAAAGGCACTAAGAGCTGGTTATTACTGGCCGACAATGGGGGCAGACTCCAAAGAACACGTCAAGAAATGTGATAGCTGCCAGAAGCATGCCAAGCTGATTCTTTCACCACCTGAAGAGTTGAAATGCATCTCGGCTCCATGGCCCTTCTTCAAATGGGGAATGGACCTACTAGGACCTTTCAAAGCTACTGAAGGGCAACTTAAGTGGCTGATCGTGGCTGTGGATTATTTCACAAAGTGGATAGAAGTAGAACCAGTCACCACGATCACCTCAGCTCGAGTACAAAGATTCTTTAAGCGAAACATTGTTTCGAGATTCGGAATCCCAGCTGAGGTGGTTACTGACAATGGAACACAGTTTGCTGATAAGAGATTTCAGCAGCTAATGACAGACCTACACGTCACGCATCACTTCGCATCTGTGGAACACCCACAATCGAATGGACAAGCAGAAGCAGCCAACAAAGTGATTGTGGAAGGTCTCAAAAAATGAATGTTTGATGCAGAAGAAAGCTGGGTTCAACAACTATACTTTGTGTTGTGGGGTTACAGAACGAGCACCCAAACTGCAACTGGGGAAACCCCTTACAGATTAACGTATGGATGTGAAGCCATGATTCCGGTAGAGATTGGAGAACCCTCCTGGAGAAGACTGAATAGTCTTGAACAAGGCGAACAACAAAACAGTAGAATGCTTACTGAAGAGTTAGACTTTGTGGATGAAGCTAGGGTTACAGCTCACTGTCGGAATATGATGACTAAACAACAAACAACAGCAAAGTATAACAAGAAAGTCAGACCAAGAAATTTTGAGAAGAATGACTTGGTACTCAGGAGAGCAGATATTGGCAACAAGAATGCCAGAGATGGAAAGCTTGCTGCGAATTGGGAAGGCCCATATCGGGTTAAAGAAATACTCGGCAAGGGGGCCTATGTCCTAGAAACAACAGAAGGCAAAGGAATTAAGAGAACCTGGAATGCGGATAAGCTTAAGATATACTATAGTTAAATCTGGGATCCACCTTCTTTCACTCGCAGTGCTATTTTAATTACATTTTCCTCTATTAGGGATTTAATTAAAGCCGAACATGCCGGCAAATTCATGTAGCTTGCAATTTGATATCAATAAATGAGGAATTTTTTTTTCTAAGGTCTATCCTTGTCTACTTTTGATGCATCAATACAAAATTTGAGGTACAAATACAATTTGTCGTAATGACTCTGATCAAGTCAAATTGTCACTATTTTGGTCATGATACCAAAAAAGGACAGATGACGTAATTGTTTTTACCTTAGATAAATTGAGTTATGTAATTCAAATTCAATTAAATGGCCAAGTCAAAGAGACAAGGTCCATTATGTATACAAGCTTACCAGAATGAGTAAGTTAAACAAACATTGCTCATCGAATTGACATAAAACGGAATCCGTCTAATGCACTGACCTCGGCCAGGTCATGAATTAAAAACTCGTATGATGCACGGGTTTATAAAACTAAATTGCGATGCAGAGTTCACCCAAAGAATGTTGTCAAATAATGAAAACTCGGTATATCACTCGTCAAGTGCGAGGGTAAAATATATCTATATAAATCGGATTTGAATCTAAGCAACTTATAGGGCAAATCCGGGCATGGAAAGGAACGCTATCCGGGTTATGCATATGCCACAAATGGTTAAGTCATACACTTCGACAAAACATAAAGGAGTTGGCTAATCAAAAAAGCAAAGGTAATGCTGCACCGACATGCCCAGTTTCAAAAACTCGACAACCTAGATAAATGCATCTATGGTGAATTCGGAATTAAGAAAGGCAAAGAATAAACCATAAAGCAAGATATTCACGAAGTAATAAATGTATGGAAAGCAAAATTAAAACCGGAGTAAAACCGGAAATATTCAAGCGGAATCAAAAAGGGGCCCAAAGGACCCCAGCAAGTTACATAATTCAACCGTCATTCCGGCCCTTCATGATATCTCTATGGTAGGAGGATCCTCTGAAGCTGGGGCCTCCTTGCTGGATTGATTAACCACCTCGACCTCCTTCTCCGGCTTGTCAACTGCCTCATCGCCATCCTCGAAGCCAACACCCTTCTCGGTTTGGACGTTTGACACATGGGAAGGAGAATCGGCAGCAGGAGTGATGATTTGGCCATTGCTAACATAGGCGCGAGCATTCAAACCGACCAGATTTAAGGGGACTTTCGGATTGAGTATTTGGAGTTGATTCAAGGCATTATATAATGACCCAATGACTGATTTCTCCAGTTCACTTTGGCAAAGCTGAGCGGTACGCTCAGCTTTCTTCACCTTGTCTTCCAATCTT